TTGTGGAGAAGATTACAGAAAAGCTTGAAAACAACAAGATACAATAAGCCCACTTGGTATTATCAAGTGTTTTTTTACCTCAGGATCAACTTGCTGTTCTCCACACTTAGGGGTCCCTTTATTTATATTCTTTCTTTCCCTTCATTTGACAGAGGTCTCTTGTCCTTTTCAACAAATAGGATAAAAAAATATACATCATCTAGAAGTTTTTTGTCATAATAATGAATCCTGTTGTTCTGATGCTTTTCACAGAACAAAGGTTGCTGCATGTGCGAAGCACTATTTGGGTGATGGTGGAACAACTGATGGCATTAATGAGAACAATACACAAATAAGCAGACAGGGTTTGCTTAGCACCCACATGCCAGGCTACTATAACTCAATTATCAAGGGTGTGTCAAGTATTATGGTTTCTTACTCAAGCTGGAATGGAGTTAAGATGCATGCTAACCGTGACATGGTCACTGGCTTTCTCAAAAACACTCTTCGTTTCAGGGTAAAACGATTTGCTTAGCTTAGGCTTTCCTGTCTTAAACAGCTTGAGAATGATAAACCAAGAGCTGTGTGCTAATGCTATGGATTGGCTCAGGGTTTTGTCATCTCAGATTGGGAGGGCATTGATAGGATCACTTCTCCACCCCATGCCAACTACTCATATTCTATTCAAGCAGGAATCAGCGCTGGAATTGACATGGTAATTTATACTTATTAATGGTTTTTACTTGATCTGTATTCATTATCATGCGCTTCAGTCTTCCAATAATAATTGTTCTGGAAATTCCATGCTGCAGATCATGGTTCCAAACAACTACAAAGAGTTCATTGATGGCCTAACATCCCACGTGAAAAATAAAGTCATCCCCATGAGCCGAATCGATGATGCAGTGAAGAGAATCTTGCGAGTTAAATTTGTGATGGGTCTATTTGAGAACCCCTTGGCTGATAAAAGTCTAGTTAATGAGCTGGACAGTCAGGTTAGCTAAACTTAGATATTATCTTCCTTCTATAACAGGTAACAAGAAGATGGGATGAACTTAAAATAGACTGTACTGTAATAATAACAGGAGCACAGAGAATTGGCTAGAGAAGCTGTGAGGAAATCACTTGTGCTGCTAAAGAATGGTGAATCTGCTGATGAGTCATTGCTACCCCTTCATAAGAAAGCGTCGAAAATACTTGTAGCTGGCAGCCATGCAGACAATCTCGGCTATCAATGTGGTGGATGGACAATTGAGTGGCAAGGACTCAGCGGCAAAAACCTCACGAGTGGTACATTCTCAGTTCCTCCTCAATTCACTTTCTGCTAATAGAATCTGTTTTAATGGACAGAACTTGGTAACTTAGTCCTTTTTTCCCAACAAGAAACTGAATTTTCAATATCGGTGACCGCTAAAACAAAATTGACCTGTAACTAGTCTTTTGTAACCATACAATATCTGATGGCATAAAAGTCAATTGGGAGATCTTTTCTGAAATATTTATTGGAAACAGCATCTCTCTTTAGGCTCTGTAATTCATTTGATGAGGTTAACGAAAATTGAATTTCTGCAGGAACCACAATCCTAACTGCCATAGAAAATACTGTTGATCCAAGCACTGAAGTTGTATACAAGGAGAATCCTGATGCAGACTTTGTCAAGTCAAACAACTTCTCTTACGCCATCGTTGTAGTAGGCGAGCCTCCATATGCGGAGACATTTGGTGACAGCTTGAACTTGACAATCTCTGAACCTGGCCCAAGCACGATACAAAATGTCTGCGGATCTGTTAAATGTGTTACTATTATTATTTCCGGGCGTCCTGTAGTCATCCAGCCATATGTCAGCTTGATGGATGCTCTCGTTGCTGCTTGGCTCCCTGGAACTGAAGGCCAAGGTGTTGCTGATGTTCTATTTGGTGACTATGGTTTCACCGGCAAGCTTCCACGAACATGGTTCAAGACTGTTGATCAGCTGCCTATGAATGTTGGAGATCGACATTATGATGCCCTCTTCCCATTCGGATATGGCCTCACAACTGATCCTACCAAGACCATCTAGACATCATTTTGTTAAACCCGGTAGATAAAGAGCCATTAACATTACATATTTGTTGATAATGTGATAATTTGCTTGGTCCTTACACCAAAATGAAGGGAAATATAGCAAAATAATTACAAGATGTCTGTCCGCATGAGTTTAGTCTGATGGCAAAGGTTTGGACCCAGAAATCTGTGGTCAGGCACAATTCATCCTGAGTCCAAATCCTTGGAAAAACAACCTCATCAGTGTCTCCGTGGCTTGCAAGAATTGCAAGATAATTGGGGCTCATCTGATGATGTAATACCAAATCAAGAATCCCTATCACAAAAATTTACTGGAACGCTGAAGGTGCGTCTTACGAGAGAAAGAGTCAGATGAATGTAACGATTATTCTTTTTCTTAAATAAAATTATTACTACTGTTAGAAAGACTATCGAAAGTGCAAATGAAAATTCTTTAGCACAGACAGTAACCTCGTTGCTAGGACAATGCATAAATCTATATACAACATCTCCTTGCACAAATTCATTCGCTTGTCACTAAACGGTCTAAACCCTGAACTAGACATTGAATGCCTAAATAACCACTGGTGAGATTTTGTTCAATGCCACATTTCTGTCACTGGCTCTGCCCTGAAGCAAGAGAACATGGAACTAAATTCTGCAAAAGTTGTGACGACGACGACACTACTTTCTTGAAAAAATTATTTACTGACTACACTGGCCGAATTGAGCCTTACACTATAATAGTTTATAACAATAAGTACCAATATTGACTTTGCAGTCCACATTGCTGGAGTTCGATCATTTACTACCACTAGCAAGCATTGATGAAAGAAATGAAGCAAAAGATATTAACAGAGAATAGCTAGGACGAAAATTTTGTAGATGTCACCTCCATCCCCTAGCCTGTCAAACTTCTGTCTTTCTCAGAACAGAATATGTACTGTTTTTTCTCTGTAAGTCTTGAGTTTGCTCTATCATTTTCATGTTTCTTCCTAGAAATGCTCTGTTTGATTATTTGTTTCTTGACAAAATTTAAACCAAATCACACAAAAATATGATTATAGTTTGACAGTAATGATTATGAGTACTAACATAGCCCTCGTTCTACTAATAGAATTGTTTGATATGTTTCTTTCTGTGCTCTGATGGGCTAAATCAAATGCAGTTATTTTGCTGTTAAACCATTTCTAGTTACAATATACTACTGTGTACAGAAGTTCTATTCTTTCCTGTATCAGATTATATTTTCAACTCTGGTCACAACTGGAATGCCTTTCAGGAACAGAAAAATGACTAGAATATTTCCCATCTTCTTGATGTGTCTTCTTGTCATCTGGGCCTGGGCAGCCTTGGCAAAAGCAGAATGCACGATCGATAATAATACGACAAAACCCATAAATTCTAGCATTAAGGACTTGATGAGCCGGATGACACTAGAGAAGAAAATTGGTCAGATGACTCACATTGAACGCAGTGTTGCATCAACTCAGGTGATGAAGAACTACTTCATGGATAAACATCACTTGCAGATTTACTTCTGAAGAATTGAGTCGTATAGGAAAGCTGAAGAAATCTGTTTCCGTTTTCTGCAGGGAGTGTTAAGTGAAGGAGGGAGTGTTTCGTCTAGAAAGGCATCTGAAGAGACTTGGATTGACATGGTGAATGAATTTCAAAAGGATGTTATATCGACCCGATTAGGAATTCCTATGATTCATGGAATTGGTGCTGTTCATGGAGACAACGATTTTTACGAGGCAACCATATTTCCTCACAGTATCGGGCTTGGAGCTACCATGCAAGTAAATATATTGCTGACAACCAAGTCCTAAGAGTTGATTATACTCCATGAGATCATTCTGTATATGTTTAAGTTCTGCACAACTTAATTTAATAAATTCATTTAGAAGGGAAGTTTTATCTGAACGAATTTTATACTGTAATACTTCAGTATGGAAAATGGTCGAATTTGTCCACCAAACAAACAAGAAAGTGGACAGTCATATTTGAGATTACAATCGTTGGCATGCATTCGAACTTGATTGTGCTTTAATTCCTTTGTGTTTTCTTAATTCCCCTATGAAAATTGGAGATAAATATTATGATCCCTTCTTCCCATTCGGGTTTGTCCTCGGCACTAATCCTACCAAGACCATCTGGACATCATTTTCTCAATTTCAATATCACAAATGTAGAAGAAATGTGCCAAAAAGTAGTGCATACTGCCCGAATTATTTTAGTGTGATGGCGAAGGTTCGGACCCGCAATCTGTGGCAACACATCTTGAATTCAAATTCTAGGCCGAACAACCTCACTGGTGTCTCGTTTTTTGTTCCTTTTGAAGTCAAAATATTACTGTTAAAAGGCCTACCAAGAGTGCAAATGAAAATTCTTCAGAACAGATAATAACCTCGTCGCTACAAGGACAAAGTATATCTATCTGCAACATCTCCTTGCACAAATTCATCCGCCTGACATATAACGCTCTAGAACCTGAATGAGACATTGAATGCCTAAATAACCACAGATAAAGAAGCAGGCAAAAACGCCATACTGGTGAGATTTTGTTCAATGCCTCATCTCTGTCACCAGCTCTGCCCAACAGCAAGAGAACATGGGACTATATTCTACAAAAATTGTGATGATGATGACACTACAACTCTAGAAGACATCATGTACAGTAACTTCCCAAAACAACCAGCAAGCACAATCCATAAAATGTTTAGGCATCATGTCTAATTGGCAGGACAGATGGACGCTGGCTTGCCCTGTTAAAATAAAAAATCACTATTCCAAACATGTAACCAAGAGGAAGTGCTAGATGCCTAGGATAAACTATCAATAGCTTCAATGGAGGATCCAAATGCTGTATAATGTGAAGCAACAATAGAGTGGACATACAGGGATGGATTCTACTAAACAAGGAAATGCAACATGAATGCACCTTTAAATGAAGAGTGAAATCAGAGAAATTGGAGGCAATGGAACAAAAGCAAAACTGTGTAGAAGTTTTATTCATCAAAGAAGTTATTCGTTAAATCCATAGATGTATAGAAAAATACATATGATTACAATGGGAAAAGGGATCATACTCGCACAAAACTGCATTTATATTATAATCCAGTGTAAAGGATCCACCAAATGGGATTATTCCACGTCAGCCTTTGGGGCATCTTTTTCCTTCTCAGGGACAGAGCTGCTCCCACTCTCAGCTTCTTTTATCTGCCTCAAAATGTCCTCTTTTTCCTCAAGAACAGCTTCTATTCTTTCATTAATCTTCTCTAACTTCTGTTTCAGCTTGTCAATGCCCTTGCTCTTGCCCTTCTCACTAGATTTTCTTTTCTTATTACTCTTCTCCTCTTTCTTTTTCTCCTTACCTTCTTTTGACTTATCTTTCTGCTTCTTCTCTTCTTCCACTGGTAACTCATCATTTATTCCTATCTCCCTGGTGGTAACCCCAGCCTCGCACTTTGACTGAGTAGCTTCAGCCTTACGTTCCTTCTGCATTTTATCTTCCTTGTCCTTTTTCTCTTTCTTCTTCTTCTTCTTCTCTTCTTTCTCTTCATCTCCATATTTTATTTCATCGTCTGCTTCATCCTTGTGCTTCTTCTCTTTCATCTCCTTATCTTTGTTCTTTTTCTTCTTGTTTTCTTCTTTCCCTTCATCTTCTTCCTCCTCAATTTCATCTTTGCCCTTCTCTTTTTTCTCCTTCTCTTTCTTCTTATCTTTCTTCTTTGCCTTCAGTTCCCCTCCTTTAACTCCCTTGTCCTTTTCTGTTTCTTCCTCAGATTCTTCATCAACCTTCTTCTCTTTATCTTTGACCTTCTTTTCTTTTCCTTTCTTCTCTTGTTTTTCTTTCTCCTCCTCCTCCACCTCAGCACTCAAACCTCTGTCTTTGCACTCCTCAACCACTTTTTTTGTATCCTTCGAATCTTTATCCTTGCCTTTCTTCTTCTCTTTTTTATCTTTCTTTTTTCCCTCTTTCTTATCCTCCTGTTCATCCCCTGAAACCTCATGATCTTTCTTTTTCTTCTTCTTCTCTTCTTTTTCTTTCACTTTCTCTTCTTTCTCCACTTTCTTATCCTCCTGATTATCCCCTGAAACCTCATGATCTTTCTTTTTCTTCTTCTTCTCTTCTTTATCTTTCCCTTTCTCTTCTTTCTCCACTTTCTTATCCTCCTGATTATCCCCTGAAACCTCATGATCTTTCTTTTTCTTCTTCTTCTCTTCTTTTTCTTTCACTTTCTCTTCTTTCTCCACTTTCTTATCCTCCTGATTATCCCCTGAAACCTCATCGTCTTTCTTCTTCTTGTTGTCCTCTTTTTCCTTTTCTTTATTATTCTTTTTCTCTTCCTTTTTCTTAGCTTCTCCGGCTTCTTTGTGCACCTCTGACTTTTCACATACGCTATCCTCACCCTCCTTTCCTTTCTTCTTCTTGTCCTTCTCTTTCATTTTCTTGTCCTTCTCCTCATCTTCATCCTTCTTCTTCTTATGTTTCTCCTTTTTCTCTGATTTCTCCTCAACTTTCTCTTCATGCTTCTCCTTTTCTACCGATTTAGTCTTCGATTCAACTTCCAACACAGTCTTCTCTCCCTTCTCGTCATTTGGTTCTTTATCCTTACTCTTGACTTTCAGATGGATTTCCTCCTTTACAACCTTTTTGTGCACTTCAGCAGCAGAAGCAACAGATTCAGACGTATCTTCCATCTCAGTTCTTTCTGAAAATTTGAAATTGAAATGTAAACCTTTTCTTGCTGAAGGTCAAATTTCCTGAAGAAAGTAGCACACCATTTAGGAATCAAAGTACTAATTGTAACAAATAACCTATAAGAAAATCTCAATATGAATTATCCAAAGTCCAAACCACATGGAGTGATCATCAAACTAGAACATCGATAAATGCCTGGGCGACACATGATTGCGCGGCAGCCCGTTGAGCACAGGATCTAAGATTAGGTAAATACATAGATTTTAACATCCCCATCAAAAAAAAATTGTTATACATGCTCGTCCTTTTCAAATTCTTTCAAGCTCCCAGCCATATAAAGACCGAGAACCTTATATAACATATCGTTATAGCAATAAATAATGTTTTCTTAATGCTTCAGCATTTTCATAATTGCATTTCTGTTTTTTCTATTTTCATAGCAAAATCCTTATATCATTACGCTACCCCACGAAAGATTCCCAATATTATTAACACCTCAATTTACTTTCATTTAAAAGCTTCAAAATGAACAGATTTTCATACAGAAAAAGATTTTATTTTATTTATGATCTAAAATAATGCCTTGGATGGTTTGTACAAGTGTCTTTTACAAAAGACAAAAACACATGCAGACACCACCGAAAGATTCCAAATATCATTGTATAGATCAAAAATCAACATATCATTCTCCCATCTGGAAGGATTTGCAAGCATGATTAGCTAAAGAAAAACATTACTCCACAAAAAAACAAAAAAACCACCATCAAAACGAGAGAACATACCGACAGCTACTCAATCACCTAAGACAGATATTGACCCCATAAAGATTACTCCCTCTCCAAAAACACGAAACGAATATCACAAAAACAAGATGGCAAGAAGAGAACGTTGTGAACCCAACAAATCGAGAAACAGATGAGAGCCAGATGAAATCTAGGAAAAACCCTAAAAATATAAGAGAATATGTAGATTAAGTTATCAAGAAAACAAAAAGGGTACAAAAGCATGAGCTAGAAGATCCCCCAACTGATATGAAATGAATATTATTTATCAGATCAAATCAAAATGATCAGAAACATGAAAGAACTTTACCTTGGTTTCTTTTTCTGGAAGTTACTACTTTTAAGAAAACCTGATGGATGATGAAGATAGACGGTTAAAGATTTTGGCTGGCTTTACTTCTGTCTAGAACACGATTAAGGTCGCTTAGTCTCTCTATCTACTTACAGAGTTTCGACTTGGGAACTGTGATTTCTCCCTTCCTTTTTTTCTTTCCTTTCCAAGTTTTTTTTTTTCTTTTTATAGTGGTGTCTAGATTATAATAGTGATTTTTTTAAAAGTAATTTAAAAAAAATATTAAAAATTTTATTTTTATTTTTTAAAATTTATTTTTAATATATTATATTAAAAAAAATTAAAATTAAACAAATAACTAAAATTTTTAAAAATAACTAAAAAATTTAAAAATAATTTTTGAAGGCAAAACAAAAACTAAAAATGGTAAACATATGATTTTTTTCAGCTGAGTTGTCTATAACCCACTAAGCCAAGAAAAACAAGTCGGTCACGCGTAACCCACACCAAGTCGGTCCCACGCGGTGAATCTTGGATCCATCTTTTATATATATATATATATATATATATTGAGCCGTATAAATTAAATTGGTTTTTTTTTTCTTTTTTCAATTAAAGTTTTAGTTATTCTTTTTTGTTTTAAAAACTAATTATTTAACCCCTTAACTAATATTGATTACGTTAGATTTAATATTGTTTTATTTTTTTTAAAAATAAATTATTTAATCCCTTGAATAATTATTATCATTTTAATTTAATATTATTTTATTTTGAAAAGGATTTCTTTCTCATTAATATCTTCACAATAGCTATTTAGTTTTTCTTTCTATATCTTTTAAAATAAAAAAAATAAAATGAGATGGAGAAGAAGATAAAATAAATAAAATATCCTTATATTAATTTTTTCCATAAAAGTTAACTAAATCAGTTATGTATTTAATATTAATTTTAACAATAATATTTTATTTAGATAAAAGCTTGAGAATTATTTACTACATTTACTAGAAACACTACTCAATATTTTAATTATATCTTAATCTATAATAATTTAAATGCTTTGAAAAAATAAAATAATTTTTAATAATTTTTACGAGAGGGACACATATATGAAGTGATTATGATAATTTAAAAAAAAAATTGAGACAATGGATTGAAAACTACTTTTACGAGAGGGACACAGATATATGAAGTGATTATAATAATTTAAAAGAAAAAAATTGAGACAATGGATTGAAAACTTGGTAATTTTGTAAAGATAAAATTAGCTCAATTAAAGTTATAAGGGTAAATTTAAAACTCACCCCATTATATAATATAAAGACAAGATATGCCATTTTCACTAAATATTTAGATCCCTTAAGTTATTTAAATATTTATCACAGTCTAATAGTTTGATTATCATCATGTACATCGTAATTGAATTTCAATTAAGTCCATTTATAATTAAAAAAATGATATTGTTTTATAAATCAATACTTCACTTATTTACTAATCTTGATATTTTATTTTGGTCATTTTAATCTTGTACTTTTAGTGATTTTTTCTCAATGTAATTGTTGATAACTCTAAAAAAAAATTAAATAAATTGATCAATATATTTATAGCACCAATATCTTTTAGTGGTAAATGAGAAATTTGATTTAAAATATAGTGTGTTTTCTCTTAAATAGAGCATTGTTTCAATTAGTACCAGCATTATGCATTGTACCATGAGCAAACACAACCCTTATACTCTTTTCTTCTGCTATAGAGTGAAGCTAAAAATACACTCTCGCATTCCTTATACATGTTAGCATATCTTAACATTGTATAGATATATTATGTAGCTATCCTTTAAAATTAGGTGTTGATTTGTTAGCTAAACAACAATTTTTTGGTCGAAAATGATGGAACTACATGTTGTTGTGCAAGATAGACTTGGTTGTTGAACTGAAAAGACTATTGTTGTTGATGAATTTAATCTTGGTTATGCAAAATGGAGCAAAGAAGATGTCATTATACAAGGCTGGTTGCTCAAAACCATATAACCAAATCTTATAACACTCTTTATTTATATGCCTATTGCATATAATATTTAGGATATTAATTTTCTCAAATATATTTTGACATATCTAATGACGCTTAAATCTATGAGTTGTTTTGTCAAGCATCTAATATAAAACAATAAGTTAGACAAATTCTATTACATTTTGTGGATATGAAATATCTTGGGGAGGAACTTGATCAATGTCATCCCATTAAAATGGTATATGATCATGATCTCAAGTTTTGTCAAGAAGAGATTGTGAAAGATCATATTTATGACTTTCTTGTCGGTTTAGATGATGTTTTTGATAAAGTTTAAGTTGATTTTTTACGAAATAGACCTCTACTAGGAATTGACGATACATTTGTTTTTATTCATCGTGTGACTCAACGTGAAACAATAATGCTTTGTGGTTATTCTCCATTTAGCTCACTGTTGAACTCTAATGTTGTCATGATATCCAAGGCATTTTTTTTGGATTACCAAAAAGATAGCTTAATTTGTTCATATTATAAAAAGAGTTGATATATAGAGGACACTTGTTTTTTTTTTTTTAATGGCTTCTCTGAATGGTATTTAGATCGTTGCAAGCAAATTAAAACTGCGTATACTACTTACATATCCACTTCTAGTTTGACATCAAACTCTCTGCATGGTGTGGCTACCTTCATAGCTACTAGCTCATCCACGACCCTTTTCAGTAATGACCATGGCTTAAATTTGCTATATCTCTCTCTCTCTCTATGTTCTCCATCGATAAACTCTTTGATTGATTCTACTCAACCATATCATGGCTTAAATTTGTTATCTCTCTCTCTTTCTCTCTATGTTCTCCATCGATAAAACTCTTTGATTGATTCTACTCAACCATACAAGGCTCGTTTTTCTTCCGACACTCATGACACTAGTTGGATAATTTGATTCTGGTTTCATTGATCACATGATAAATAACAAGTCATTGTTTCATGCTAAGAACCCATATTGTCGTAAGTGTGTAGTCACTGCCAATGGTGATCAAATTATTATGACTGAGGCTAGTTCTATTGATCTTACATCTCTTTGCATCATACTTTATTTATTCTTTCTTTATCAAATAATTTATTATTCGTTAGTTAGCTTACTAATTAATTGAATTGTGTAGTTATGATGTTTCCTAAATTCTACTTGCTACAGGATATCCAGTAGGAAGTGATCATTGTGCATGGTACTAATAGGAAAGGCCTCTAATATATCGATAATATAGGATCAAGTTAGGTTCATCACATGTCTAGCGTACAACATGATACTATTCAAGATATTTGGTTGTTGCATCACAAACTTAGACATGTCTTTTTTGGTTAATTATTTTATTTGCTTTCATTTTTCTTTCAAGATGTTCATGTATTTAAGCTCAAATATAAAGTTTATATCTTGGCTAAGAGTCATCGAGTGTCTTATTCTTTAAGTTTTTAATAAAATTGATATTTCATTTAATATCATTTATTTTGATGTCTGGGGCCTTCGCTTATCAAAAATCATAATGGTATTCAATGGTTTGTTATATTTGTTAATGATTAAACACATATGACATGTCTATATATACGAAAATAACAATGAGTTGGTAGCATATTTTATGTGTTTTATCAAATAATTCACACTCAGTTTAAAGCCTCTATCAAGATTTTTCATTCTGATAATGGTGGTGAATTTCTCAACACTGCCCTATTTATTTTCTTTCAAGAACATGGGATCTTACATAAAACTACATGTTCATAAACACTAGAATAAAATGGTATTGCAAAATGCTAAAATAAGCATGTTTTAGAAACTATCCTAGCTCTTCTCTTTGGTGCCTTAGCTCGATAATTGTTATGTTTGGAACTGTTATATCTGTTATGTACCTCTTGAACTGAAACCCTTCTCGAGTCTTAGATTTCATGACTTTTATAGAAACCTTAACTCATTATATCTTTATTCAAGCATTTCTAATTTTCACCTCATGAATCTTTGGGTGTATAATATATGTTTATATCTATAAGACACAATAAAGTAAGTCGAATCCTTATGCTATTTGTTGTGTCTTTCCTAGTTTTACGTCTCATCATTACCATTCATCTATTGGTCAGAAGTTTGTTACCAAAAATGTTACGTTTGTGGAATCTAATTTATATTTTTAGCCCAATAAGCATGTTTCCCCTCTTCTTGATACATATTTTATTATACTTGAACAACTATTGTGCATTATCTTACTAGATGAAATATACTCTACTATCATAGAAGTAAAGATTACCACTTGTCCTCAATATATTGCTTCTACTCCCAATATTATTATCACTTATCTTCAATTTGTTGTTACTATTGTTATTGTTCTTAATAATCCTGCCACTTATCATCAGTTTATTTATATTGCTTCCAATATTGCCACACTTGTCAACATAATAGATATGCCTCTATACATTGCATATGAACTATTATTATTAGTTACACCCTCTATAGATATATCTCTGATAAGCACCTTTGACTCTATAATGACTAATGTTTATGATTTTAATTGTACTTATCATTTTCCACCTAAATCAACATGGGGATAACCATATGTTCATTACTCTTTAATAAGCAAGACACGATATGTCATTTCTCAATAGATGTCTCATCCAAAGCTTTCATCTCAACATCCAATTTTTATCTATAATCATATAGTTATTCAAGTTTCTCATATTGTTCATGAGGCTCTACAAGTTCCTTAATGGATTGAAGCCGTAAACGATGAGATTATAATGTTTTTTTTTTATAAAAAAAATATCACATAGAAAATTGTATCTCTTCCTCAAGGCAAGAAGCCTATTGGTTTTTGTCCGATACTCACTATTAAATATCATTCTGATGATTTCGTGGAGCATTACAAAGTATGTTTTGTTGCCAAAGGACATACTCAGGTATATAGCATGGATTATTATGAGATAATTACAATGGTTGTAAAATTAAATACTATTTATGTACTCTTGTTTATAGTTGTCGATAATGATTGACCACTAAAATAGTTTGATGTTAAAATGCTTTTTTGCTTGGTGATTTAGAGAAAGATGTTTATATGGATTCCTTTTAGGTTATATATTTGATAATGGTCGTGGTAATATATATCAAGTACATAAAGTATTGTATAGATTGAAATAATCACCATGAGTTTGGTTTGGAAGATTTACTAATATTATAAAGCAGTTTGTGTATCATCAGAGTAACTTGGATCACACCTTATTCATCAAAAGTCATAATCATTATGTAATATTGCTAATCATTTATGTTGATGATATGGTTTTTATAGGAAATTATCCTAAAGAGACCCAAAAACTACAAAACCATATAGTATTTGAGTTTAAAATGAAGAACTTGTGAAGTCTCAAGTATTTGCTAGGCATTGAAATTGCTCATTCTAAGAAAGATATATTTCTTTCTCAACAAAAATATATACATGATTTGTTGATTGAAATAGACATGTTGGATTGCAAGCCATCCACTACACCTATTGTTGAGAATCATCATTTACAAGTTTGTTCTGATCAAATATCAACCATTAAAGAACAATACCAGAGGTTAATTAGGAAGTTTATTCATTTATCTCACACCTGGCCTGATGTCGCCTATGTTGTTGGCCTTATAAGTTAATTTATGCACTCTTTTAATGAAGAACATAAGGAAGTAATCAAATGAATATGAAGTTATCTCATAACAATTTTTGATCAAGGTCTTATATTTCGCAAACATGGGCATCTTAATATTGAAAGGTATACGAATGCTAATTGTTCAGGTCTTTTTTTTATCATCGATTTATATCTAGATACTTTACTTTCATAGAAGGTAATCTTATTATATAAAGTAGTAAGAAGCAAAATGTTGTTGCATGATTTATGATTGAAGTTGAGTATTGTGACATGACTCATATTATTTATGAATTATTATGGTTGCATTTATTGCTCTAAAATAGGCTAAGATATTATATAGGTTGCATTTATTGTTTAAGTTTCACTTAATTAGCTTAGATCCTTTCTAAGATGAAATGTGAGAAATTCCTTGATATTGGTCTTGTGATCCTAGTTATTAAATTTGGATTGGCCCACGCAAATCGACCCGGAACTTGATCGACCTGATGGATGGACCAGTTCTAGTAAGGTAAAAGATCAACCAGTGCAAAAACCAATCAAACTTGGGTGAATCGATGGGTCAACTCGTGACCTGGGTGAACCTGAATGAGACACCTCTTTTTTTATATATTTTTTAGTTGGTTATTAATCATTTTTAAAGTTCACTATATAAATACTAAAAGAGTATTTTATTTTTTCAATATAGAATTTGAAACCCTTCGGTATATATATTCTATGTTCCAAAAAAAAAATTATTTTTTTAATATGATATTTGAAACTTTTTAGTATATATATTATATGTTCATAAAAAAAAAGTTATATTTAAAATCTTATTTAAATAGTTCAACTTAAAAGATTAATATAATATTTTTTCAATGAGATTTGAAGTATCTTTTTAATTTCAGAATTAATTTTTTTTAAAATCAATATGAATTAGCATATTTATCATGATGAACTTTTGTTTTTATTTTACTTTAAAGATTTTATTTATTTAAATCTAACTCAATTGAATTTTAGTTTTATTATTTTATGATTTTTTTATTTGAATATTATTTAAATGAGTTTGAATATGGTGTTTAAAATTAATTCTCAAATTTAATTATAATATTTAATTTAAATTAATAAATAAATAAATTAAATTCATATGTGCTCTTAAAAATAAAAAATGGATAAATAAATAATTTAGAGAAATTATTTTTAATATTTATTTAGTGTAGTAAAAAAAAAGTTGGCTTTTTATTTATTTTTATATTAATTTTAGATATTAAATTCTATTCATAAAATTCAAAATGATTTTAAATATTAAAACCTGTTAATAGAAAAAAGAATTCGAAATAGACTAGCAGTCGAAAAGATAAAAACTAGAGTGGAAAGTGGAAACAATAAAAAAGAAATACGAAGGGATAAAGAGAAGAAGAAGACGAAGACGAAGTGACATAAGTAAAAGAGTAGGGAATCTGAGTGACGAAGTTACATAAGTAAAAGAGTAGGGAATCTGAGTCTGGTTAGCAACATTTCTCACTCCCTCCTCCAGTCAATTGCTGCCCAAGTTCTCTGTTTGGTCAACGGGAAAATTTGACGTTAAGAAACTTGTTTTCTTTTTTTTTTATCTGTTTTCCAGACCGTGAAGTTGAAAGCATTTGGATTGAACCACAACAGCACCTTGTCTTTTGTCTTCCCAAAACCCATAAAAGGTATTATCTGCTAAATTCACTTAATTTTATCGACAACATTGCTGCATTTCGATATATACTAACTATAGCAGTTGTGCTTTTGTGGGCTTAAGAAACTGTTAAAACATGATTGATTTGCAGAAGTTACAGTAGAATTCAGTTGTTTGATTAGCAAAGCGAATGAGATGGATTGGAGAGGAAATCTGAGGATTAGTCCAGCATCACCTTGTTGAGTAAATATTAAATCACTGTTCATCTTGGACTTCCTTCTTTACAGTAACCCAGCTGCTTACAGCTTACAGGGTCCTAGCTTTACAAACTCGCTTGTGAACGGATCTCACAACGGGAAATTCCCATGACCGTAACTCTACTAGCATTATTCTTGTTTTTAAATGGAATTTCCGTTTTTATTTTTAAATACACTAATGTGAATGCTTTGGAGAACAACTTCAAATCCCAATCAAAAAATAAGTGACCAGACCATTTTCTTTCTTTTTCGTTGTCTCCTCTAGGGAGGGCAATTATCAACAAAATTGTTTTGTGCACCATTTAGATGAGTGGATGGCCATGAGCAACATATGAAGAGGCTGTTATGCGCAACATCCAGGTGACTGGATTATGGCCACAACGGCTTACTTCATTCAGGGGGGGCCCCATGAGAGTGGTGTCTGCATATATATATATTTGTTTGTTAATCTCATGCTAATATTGGTTCTCCAAAAAAAAAAAAAAACTATAAAAATTTTGAAGTGTTTTTCTGTCCATAGAGGATTTACCTAGGCACCAGTGTTTTGTCATGCCATATTTTTTCTTTTTTCACTGTCATATCATTGTATTTGTGGTTGACATGTTTAAAAATCTTTGACAGAATTAACAGTATGTTATCAACTGGAAAGAAGTTGCATGCAAGTAAAAGATCTGAGGGTTCAATTGCATAGCTGACTCTAGGCCATACTTCATCTTTTTCACCGTCAAAAGAATGACATGTTGAAAAGGGTGGGTTTCTGCTGATTGAAGACTTGTAAGAAATGGCAGCAGACATGGCAGAGTTCCTCTGGAGGAAGTCTTTAAATGCTCTGCAAGAAGCAGAGACTGAATTATTTTTTCAATTCACTCTTGCTTCTCATTTTCGAAGAATTAGACAAGTGATGGAGAGTAAAAATATCAAATTATGTTTATCCCAGGCATCAAGCATCTGTGATATGCTTTATGACCTCAATGATGTACTTGTTGAGTGCCAGAGCTTTGCACACCAAAGGAAAGCACACAAGAAAAACAGGTTACTTTTCATCTCTTCTATGGATTATCGTTTTGTGGGTAAGAGAAAGAAAAGGTTGGTTGACATCAAAAAAAAGTTTGAGGAAATGGTTGAGGATGATGGTGAGGGACAATCTAGTCCTCTTAGAAATTCACCATTGAAATTTAGGGAAGGCAACGGGTCTGAAATTCCTGGGTTCAATGACAACATTAAAGAGATTGAGAACATGCTTTTTGAAAATATATCTAATGAGAATGGTGCTGAATTCAAGATAATAGGCATATGGGGAATGGGTGGCACAGGAAAATCCACACTTGCTAGTAAGGTTTTCAATAGTGAGAAAGTGAGCAGCCAGTTTTCAAGGAAGATCTGGATTTGCTTATCTGGTATTCATGGGGGTGAGAAAGACATGGGGATTAAGATTTTTAAGTTGATGTTGAAGGAGTTAGATTATGATATTGATGAATTAAAGGCAGATGATATTACTATGATGGAGCTTTCGCAGACCCTTCAGTGTCTATTATCATACGAAAGGTATTTGATTGTGTTTGATGATGTGTGGCCCTGGCATGCCAACATCTTGGCCACAGACATTAGTTCAGCAGGGGTACTTCCCAGAGGTTGTAATGGTACTGTCATTGTGACAACCAGGCTGCAGAAAGTGGCTACAATATTTGGAGCTGAGAAGATTCAACTTCCGTCCCCATCGATGAAACAGGGTTGTTGGAATATTTTTGAGCATACCGTTAAATCTGGCCTTTGCAACAAGTCTGAAATTGGGTTTGACCAATGCTTGCAGAAAATTGAGGACGAAGTTCAAGAAGATGGATTCAAGTTAATTGGGATATGTGGGGTGCGCAATGCAAGGAAAACCACGCTTGCAAGAAAGTTTTTCGACAGTGTTTTGAGCAGAAAGTTCTCAAGGAAAATTTGGGTTTGCCTATCAGGAATTCAAAGGAATGAGCAAGACATTGGGGCTAAGATTTTAAAGTTGGTTTTGGAAGGGCTAGATTATGATCTTCATGAATCAATAATAGATGATGATCTTACCGTGATCGAGCTCTTGGGCACTCTTAAGCATCTATTATCGAATGAAAACTATCTGATCGTATTTGATGATGTGTGGCCCTGGCATGCCAAGTTTTTGGCTGAAGAAACCATCTCGTCGGGGGGATTGCCTAGGAATAGTGGTGGAGCAGTCGTTGTCACATGCAGACGGAAAGAAGTGGCTGAAGAGATAGGATGTATGAACATGATTCACCTTCAGCATCCGGAACTGGAGGATTGTGGGAAGATCTTTCAGCGCACTCTTCAATACGATCCAGAAACATGGAACAGGATTAAAATTGAAATCGAGTACAAAATTGGTGTTCTTCCATTAGCTGCCAAGACACTCGGGGAGATCTTTTTGGAGAAGATCCGAGAATCAGAGATTTCTTCCCCGACTTCTTGAAATTCCCACCCTTCTCTCCTCTGTATTCCCTATTTGCAAAACATTTATGCCCTTTGGATACAGCATTGTTTGATTTCCCATTTTATTGCAGCCATAACAAAAACCCCCTTTGATCTTAAACATTTTAGCTCAGAATATGAATCGAGGGTTTCTTCTTCTTCTTCTACTTCTTCTTCTTCAGCCAGTCCAAAACAAGATTGTGGTTTCCACATATGCATCAGTAAAGCTTGTTTGTGTTAACCATATTACAGCTCCTGCAGATCAGCATATCTCAATCTCCATGATCACCGCTCCTCCAAATCAGCCCCTTATCAAAGCTCCTCCAAATCAGCCCTGATCAAGCCACGAAATTTGCTATTAAATAGAATACCTCCAGCTCATTGTAATTGCTAAGATCATTCTTGTACATGCACTATCCAAAAAATGCATTTTTATTGGTTACAATGCCAATCATCATGGGTACAGATGTCGTATCTTTGTCTTTAAAAATGTAGTGTTTGACGAACAATCATTTCTTGCTAAGGATATATTCTCATGTTCTCCTTCACCCTGCAAGGGTCTCCACCCAGGTATGGTTGTCTCTCTCTCTCTCTCTCTACTTTCTCCCTCTCCACTGACCTACCATCAATATAAATCAAAAATGTTATTCAAGAAATCCTGTTGGAAATTATTTTTAAAATAAATAACGAAATTTTAATATATTGCAAGAATTTTTTTGTGTAAAACGTTTTTTTACATGTAAAAACATTTTCCATTCATAGAATGTCTTGCACAAAATAAACATACCCTTAAAAACATGAATTTTGTGTCGAAACATTGGGAAAAAACACTCTATCTTGGAATATTTGGTTTTATAAAGATACTCTTAAATTTTAAGAACCATCACATGGACTTTGAGCTGGATGAGATAAACAAAAGCTTAGTTAACAAGACGGGTTAACAAGACTGAGCATACAATGTGCCTATGTGCATTGCAGAATTTGATGAATTGAATATGAAATGCTTCAACTTGTGTATTTTGCATAGTTTTTTTAACCCGTAGTGGTAGCTGGTTTGGTCTAAAACTCAGGTTTTTAGTTTTGGTTGGTTGCTTAATTTAATTTTTTTTTTAAAAAATCAAAATAATATTGTTTTAGTAAAAAAAAAAAAACATTAAAATCAATATGTTATAACTGAGTTTTTAATCGGATTTTATTAAATTAATTGAGTCATCTCAAGTTTTATCTTTGTTTATTTTTTTTAAATTTGTCGATCAGGTCCCGAGTTTGTACTAAAGCTGGACTGAATTTCAAAACTATAGAATTTTAAATGATAATATCTATATTATTGTTCCAAATATGATTATATGATTCTCAAGCCAAGGAAACAATATGTTAAAGATTATTTCTTTAATTAAAAAGATTTAAGTTTAGACCAATAATGTTAACTTAGTTTAAGTTTTGCACTTCATTGTAAAATAGCTAAACATTTTTTAAGATAATGATGATGCTCTCAGATCACATCACTACTATAATTTTTCATATTATAGATGGATTGTTCTTTTTTATGTAAATGTTATTTTTGTTGGAAAAATATTTATTGATGACATTATAAATAATCATTATTTGTTATAAAAATTTTCATTGGTAACTTTAAATTGTTCATATCCATCAATAATAAAAATACTAAAGAATTTATAAATAAAAAAAACACGTCAAATAAAAAAAATTATTAATATTATTTTATCCATAATTCTTGATAAATACGACATATCAACAACAAATAAAACCATTTGTAATTTTATAGGTGAATTATTTGATATTATTAATGGATAAACATTAGTGATTAACATTTTTATCGGTAATTCTTGGTAAATATATCATATTAACAATAAATAAAGTCATTTATAATTTTTTCAGTAAATTATTTCATGTTACAGAGGGATAAACATCAATAATTAACATATCATCAATAACGAAATGTGATTATTTTCAACTTTTTTAAACTTTCCAATAGACTTAGTTTTGACAGTAATGTATTTAATATTTTTAAAAAAATTCTAATAAACATACTAGAAAAGAATTAAAAGAAATAAAACTAAAATAAAAGGATTAAATAACAGTAATAATATTTCTATTTTTTAAAAACAAATACTTATAAATGTACATCAATAAATAAAAATAAAAATTAATTACTTTTATTTATGATTAATATGTTTTTATAAATTAATTATTTTATAAAATAAATAAGATAATAAATTTCAAGAAAATATAACATTCAAAAATAATTATTTCCTAACAATTAGATGACCAACCAAACTTTAAATTGAGATTCAATTTAAACCCAACAAACTAATTATTTAACACATCCTAATTAAATCCTTTCAAATTAACTTAAAATCCGAAACTGTAAAATAATTATTTTCTAATAAGATAATTCTCAAATCAACTTTAAATTCACCAAAATTCAACCATAAAACAATTTATTTTATGAAAACATATCATAATCAATTATTCCAAACTTAACATAAACCTAAATCACAATATTTTTTTAAAAATACCTGCATTAGCATCTAAAATTTAAATTGAGACTCGATTTAACAAAGAAAACTAATTGTTTTATGCAAAACACTTTCTAATTAATTTCTCTTAAATTTACACCAAATCCTGTAAATTAATTCATTCTCAACATGCTCAAATTTTAGACATAACTTTAAATTAAGATACAATTCAACCCCAACAAATACACTATTTATGAAAAATATCACACTACTTCTATGCTTTGTCCTATGTTCATCACTTGCAGTCACAACATCAATACATTGCAAATGCCTAGCTCTTAACCTTTCAATGCATTTGCCGCGAAGCTGTACAAGGGATTATTGACATCGATATTTGTACTTTAGCAGAGAAAATGTCAAGAAATCAAAGCCGATGTTTCTCCTTTAGCTTTCCCAGCTATAACAAGCGCGTTGCTCATGAGCCTTTAAAAAAAAAAAAAAAAAAGAGTGGTTGTAAAAGGCTTTTTTCCTCACATGTGCAACGATTTAAGAAATCTCAAGTTGTTCTTGGAGAATGGAATTAGATGTGGTCAAGTCAAGATAAATCCTTGTGTTTGAACACGCTTTGTTTTATTGTTTCGAGCTTTTTTTTACAGGCTAATCATCTTTACATTCATTGTTTAATATTGTTGATGTTTTAAGTTCTGATAACTAGTTTTTATATCTCCATAGAATCTTATTTATCCAATCAAACCCTAATATTGATCTCCCTCTAAGCCTAACTCTTGATCCTTCAAACGAGCCTGCGATGCCTTTTGCTAGTGTCAACAATATATGAATCGATGATCATACTAATGGTTGTAAAAACGTTTAGGTGTTTGATGTTGTGAAGCTCTCAACTGAATTTATGGATCTTGTCCTGGGAAGGAGTTTCTCTAGTAGCAATAATGGAACTTTTGAAAAAGGTTAGGGCTCATAATTTGAAGTTAGTTTCAGTGGGCATTGAGGAGAACAATAACAATGATAACCCTGGATAAAAAAAAATACATAATATTAATAACAAGCAAGCCCTAATAGTAAGGAAAACTCAGGTCTATTAGGCACATCTGTGATGTGATATGATAACAAGGTCTACTATAGTTAGAATACTGTTATTTTTAGATTATTTTGATATATTAATGTTAAAAATTATTTTATAAAAAATAAAAAAATATATTATTTTAGTATATTTTTAAGCAAAAATCATTTTAAAAAATAATTAATATTACACTCCTAAACACCCTCTAAATTTATTATGTTGGTTTCTACCACCCTCGCAAACATTTCCTAATCACACCATTGTAGATTGGATGATTTAGTACCGTTTTGGTTGGTATCTGAGAACAAAAAAGATAAAGACAGTTAGGATTGAAAAAACAAGATTGAACAAGAGACAGAAAATTATATTTGACAATGGCATATGCGCATGTGCACCCAGCAATGAATTGAGGTTCTGGAACAAGAAGGGAGTCGTTTTTTAGCGACAATGGCATATGTGCATGTGCATCCAGCAAGATCAATGAATTATCAGCTCGAAATATTTGTGGAGGATGAGCATGAAGGATTCTATTTTCTTTATTCACTTGGCATGCAGATTTTTCTGGATATGGCAGTCATGGTGGATGCACAAGGGGACGTGCTTGACAGCATAGAATTGTAATTTTTATTAGTGAAAAAAAGGAGCACAAGTCCAGAAAATAAGTCGCAGGTAATGAATTCATCTCTGATGGATCCTTGTTGTGCCTTGGGTGGAAAGGAATGGATCCTATGCTCTCCAAAAGGCAAAGAAGTTACAAAGGAACTCCCGGAAATGGCTGCGCATTGCCATTATAATCCTTCTTTTCACTGTTGTCATCATCGTTGTGACTGTTTAAGCCATGGAATAACAAAAAGGGTGCTTAGCCTCATCTTGGTCTTGCCTATTGTGTAAATGTATCATGAGTTGTGAGATTCACCTTTGTAAACATTCCAGCAATTTGTCGATTTATATTTGAAGTTATTTTTATGATCTATTCCTGCAAAGCAATTTTCTCACCCTTTATGGTTTCCAATTGTAAAACATTTCACAATTTAAATATGGAGTTGTTGAATTGGAGCTATGAGCTATCCCCCAGAGAGGATAAGAGGCAAAAGGGCCGCCTGCGAACAGCTAATTGCGGAGGCTCGGTAAAACTGCATTTTTCCTTGCTGGTTTGCAAACCGAGGTGCAGATTAACCATGCGACCTGTTCATCCCTCATTCCTGAAACCGCACAGGTGAAATGTGCCAACCATCTCGCGTAGGTTTGCACTCTGTAAAACAGAATTATGTGAGCAGGTAGGCCTTTTAACATGTATCATTGTACGGTGATGACATGACAACATCCGCATATGTTTTTTGTTCACCTCCAATTGATGGAATTATAATAGTTGAGGAAAAAAAGAATCATTTATCATTGAATTTTGTTGGAATCAACTTTACACTCTGACATGACATTCAGTTCAAGGAACAGAAATAATGTTTCAGATACCAAAAGGATCTTCAAGCATTGCAAGCTGTCCAATACAACATTCCCACGTTTAAGCTCCTCCGTGCTGAAACATCTCCAACGGGGGCAATCATGTTTCTGCAACAGTCTGCAATGAGCTTATCTGGAAGGCATCAGTCAGGCTCACTACCGTCACGTTAAAAGTAGTGTCGTATGAAGGTATACAACTATTTTTCTTTTCTATATGTGAAGGTATCCGTGAATCTACTAGGAAAGAATAAATCTCAATATTTCCTTTAGAACACTCTAAAGTTGGAACTATGAAAAACGACCTTATACTTGTCACCCCATCCCCAAAACTTTACATCCCAGACGATATTGCTGAAAAGTTGACTGCCAGCTTCAATTGTAAAAACACAGGTCATATCATCAACAAGTCCGCTTCTAGTCATTAGGATCCCATTCATCATCCTGATCCACGGGTAGTTGAGTAAGACTACTTTTAACTGCATTGTCATCAGATTCTTGCTGTTCAACACCATCATTTTCATATTCTAACTCGTTATTACCATTACTACCATCTTCCGCCACTTCTGACTCTAAGTGAGTATCTTCCTGACTATGCTTCATCCATGTTGGGCACTCGTCCTCTCCTCCATATAGTAATCGTCCATCATGACCTTTTACCTGTTTTGGAACCTCTGCAGAAGGAATTCTACAAGAGCATTCAGGAAGCGGGTGAGACAGGAATGTGGTTGGCTTTGACAGAAGGGATTGCCTGATAAGGCCATCTTCACTCGAGCTTTTGCTGAGATGTTCCCTTACTGAAAGTTTCCAAGAATAGTTGTGATGGTAGTACATGTTGTCACGGGTAATGTTGAAAAGTTCTGCAAGAACTCTCCTGTTCGAAGAACAAAAAAGGCATCAGAATGATTTTTTCTATTTTATTAAATACAAGCAGACATCAAAAAGATATATCAAGATTGCCAAAAACAGAAAAACTTAAGTACATGGTGTAAAAAATAGAAAATAAGCAGATAAACCAGCAAAAGATATTTAATTAAATGAAAATTGTGATGGATCGAAGCTGATTTGTTTGCTTAACACCACAGTGCAAAAACATGTCAGGAAAATCGTAAAAAAATTTGCAAGTCTTTATTTTCCCTGGCATGCTAGAATACCTCTCTTGTGGCAATCTCAATATAACATGATTATTATTATTTGGGAAGAGTAGCCATCTGAGATAATTACTCTCTAAAAGGGCAGAAGGAAAAATATTGATTTTACTCAACTCAAATCCATACATACATATTCTTGTGTGAGAATGAAAATGCAGGTTGATATCCTTTCTAAAAAATCTGAGTGCATCTATTGCATTCTTAGCAAATCTTTCCTTCTCTTTCAATCATAGTCAGGTAGCTGAGGAGATTCATCTACATTATGCTTCCATTTCGTGCATTAGAACATATTCTATCGAATAAATTTCCATGGAATCATTCAATAGCTTTTAAAAACTAATCCATTTGAAGTTCACAACAAGAGTTTTTGCACATCATACCTGTCTGGCCGATATGTTATAGAAGAAGCACTCTCGTATAGCCGCTGTCCCATGACCAAGCTTGAGAAGTCTGGCCATCCACTACCATCATTATGGAAACCAGGAAAAAATGCATCTGCTTCCACTGAGACAATATAATCAAGAGCATCCCAGAGTAACCTGTGTGCTTGCATCCTCAGATCTACAGGTGAAGGGTCTGGTTCTGTGTCAGACTCAGTAATCCAACCATACCAACCTTCTTTTTCATGTTGATAGATGGGTCTGTCTGGAGGTGGAGGAAGGGGACGAGGCCGAGGGCCTGCCATATTCCACTCTTCTTTAAGCTGTTCCTCACTTTTGGTAGGAGGTGGCTGAAAAGGATTCAGAGGAAGAGGTGTTTCAGGACCAACCAAATCAGACAGTTCTTGCTTAGTGCAAACCCGAGTGCGATCCACAGTGTTGGAGAACATGGCACGCAGAGGGATCAAAACACGTTGACCACCAAAAGTTTCAGAACCAGCCACATATATCACTGTTCTGTTAGGATAGCCCATCGCTTGAAGGAGAAGACCAACCTGAAAATATTTTAGACAGAACAAGAAATTTCAGTTGCAAATGACCATTATGAAGAATATGAACCACAAAGGGAATACATGCTTTTCTGCAGACATTAATTCTTATTTATGTAACAGAAAGCATCAGTTCCAGATTGAAGATAGCTGGCCTAAAAACCTGAATAAAGAGGTTGCAGTAGAAATGGTCATATCTTGGTCGACAGTGCTATAAATAATAGGGAGTATATGAGAACCACTTGAATTTTAATTTTTGAAGTATATGAGAAGAGTATAAGGAGTGCAATCAAATACAAACTTTTATTACAAGATAAACTACAAAATTCAACTTACTGCTCTTTAAAAAATATGATAGAAATTTTTGGCCTTTTAAATTATAAAAATGAACTTATCTATCCCTTTCCCTGGTCCCTACCATTGATTTGGGCTGAGGCTTAGTCATTGTTGTTGTTGTTGTTGTTGTGTCATTGATTTGTGTTCTTTCTCTTAGATGTTGGATTGTAAAATAGAATATTCCAATCAAGCCTTTTTTCCTCATAAATCATTCCTTTCCTGCCTTTTTGAAGTCACAAGTATTCAAAAATTTGTTTTACCAGAGGGTATTTGGAAAACTAAAAGGACCCTGCAAAGTTGAGTCATTCATCTAGGTAGTAACGTTTGATAAGAAGAAAACTAGTAATTTGTTGCAAGTTAGAGCACCTCTCACAAACGCCTTCCTCCCTCCTATGATCTATGTTATATGCTACCACGCTAGAAGTGTTAACTTTGGTTTGCCCAATGATGGTGGAAAGAGAAACTTAGCCAGTTCTGAGATTGCAACAGGAGCATATAACCTTGGGGTGATGTAGTGTCTTATTTGGAATGTTTGGATGGAGAGAAAGAGTAGACGTTGTTAGGATAAGTCAACCTCTAGAAAATGGGTATGCAATAGAATAAAACTTCTAGCTTCTTCGCCATGCAATGCATGGGACTTCTAGGGTGTTTGAGTTCAAAGTTAATTTAGGGGGATTAGACTATCTTTTATATTGAATTGTTATTATTTTTTCTCATTCTATATTTGGAGGATGTCTCCAACTTGTACATTTTTTTCCCTTTCTATTGATAATTTCCTCAATCTGAAAAACAAAATCCCCGCTAAGAGGCAAGAAATATTAAGGATTTGAATTACTATGAAATCTACAAATGATTTGGTAAATATAATTCAAATTCTGGGGAGTGCCGACAATTTTCAAATAACCAAATTCCAGTCTAGATAAGAAGTAAACGTGCATTGAACAGTTCGGACTTGAAAGTTAAACCTTAACCCTGAGCATACCTCTTCTGGCATGAGGGGGCATGACCCATTGTCTCTATGGATGTGTGAGCCTGCACCTAGCTCACCATTAAGAATCCCTTGCTTAATCATCTGTGCCCTACGATACTGTATAAGCTCAGTGTGAACATCCTAGAAGAAGTGCCAAGTTAGAAAATGGAGTTAGCAAAATTAGAGAACTTAATGAAATATTGACATAGTCTATCTTCATCTTTGTTTGAGGTAGAAATTCATATAGATAAAGTATCAGAAAATTGAAATTCCAACCACTGAAATTTCTGACCAACTAAATAGCAAAAGAAGTAATAAAAATTAAAAGAAATGAAACTGAAACATAAAAATGCAACTTCGATTATGAAAATGATATAGAGGAGAAAAGGCTTGAACAACTAGCCTGGAATAGTTCTGCACAACCATGATATGCCAAGATGTTTCTCACCAAGCCAGGATGAAATGCAAGGAAAGGTTGACCAGATGCCCGTAACCTGTGGAAATGAGGTTAAAGTCAAGAACTGCAAGTAAATGCTTCGTAAGTTGTGAATTCACATGCAATTTATTATGCAACGTGGGCCGTGTTCTTACAGAAAGTGCTAAACCACAGATCTTGCAGTTTGCATTATAATTTTATTGGAAAGGAAAGGTGAGAAACTAATCAACTATACCTCTGAACCATCAACTGACCAGCCATCTGAATTTCTCGGCGAAATTTTAGAGCATGGAATGCAACCCGGCATCTAAGCCTCTGAAACTCGGACATGCTTGGTGGAAGAATTGACTGAGAAGAACGTTATTAACAGAGATTACAGCATTATCAAGATTAATTGATAGATGTCAACAGTGCCATGAATACCCAAGTTCAATGCCCTAAAGTGAGGAGCCCCATTGCATAATTGCAAATGCCAAACTTTGTGAATATCAAATATGGTGACCACAAAGAACAAGAACAAACAGGCAGAAAGGGTAAAATAGCACCAAACAGTAACAACATTGCCATCAAGTTAACAAGGAGGTATCTGTTAAGTTGGGTAGAAATGAAGATAGGGCATTCTAAAAACAAGCGGTAAATGAATCCAAAGTCAATGTTGATGCAGGGAAGTCCATTTCCTACCATTGAAGGTCATAGCTTGTGGGAAATAGAAAGGAAACATGACACTGATCTGACAGTGGTCATCAATAAGAGCATCACAACCTACAAGAATGGGTGCTAGATGGAACAGCATACTCCTATCATCGAAATGAGGATAGCCTATCTATGCATTGAGAATAAAAGAAAATAATTAACAATTATCATCCAAATACTAAAGTTTCTCCAAGCAAAGGTCATATCCCAGAAGAAAAAAATAGATGAGACAACAATCAATTATTTGGATAATCCTGAGTAGAAAAGTGGAGCTCTTTGAGATGAGAGCATTTGCACAACAACAAAAATCATTTATGACCTACATTTCAATAGATTCACCTACCTGCAGGCATCCTCCATCATGAAGAACTAGTCCAATAACCTTGGATTTCTTTAACACAGGCAAAATTTCTTTGACGTAGAAATTTGGAGAAGCAGATCTTTTGGGCTTATATGTCCGGACCTCATTCCTTCTCCTGGATGCTTTCAAATTCTCAGGCAGGCTCTTCACAATGTTTACATCATTTTTAAGTGATGCTATGAACTGATCTTCATCAAAGAGATATGAAAAACTCTTGAATTTGTAACTGTTTGAAATTCACAAATAAAAAAAGAAAAAAGAAAAATGGTAAGCTTTACAAGCACATGGAATAATGGTGAAACAAACCATTAAACTAGCTAAAATAAATTACCTAATGCCTTTTGATTGAAGACTTTCTTGAATCTCTGGAATGACAAGAGTAGCATTTAGAAGCCTGGATATGGTGACAAGATCACAGATCTAGAAAATTAACAGAAATGTTATGAACTCCCACTATAAATCATAAATAAAACAAGTCTAAAATATCAAATGAATCATACCGAGGATCTTATCTTCTCAAATCCACCAAAAATTTTTGCATAAATGTAACCATTGTTTCTTTCATCTGGAACTGTAAAAAATCAAATAAAATATATGCAAAATAAAAATCAAAACGGAGATAAATTGTCAAATAAGGCTCATAAAGATCATGATATAACAAGCAAGACAGCAAGAGAACCATGGAAATAAGCTCGTTGTTTAAATGAAAGTTAATGGGAAGCAAGCTTGCAGCTTTGGTAACAGCAATTTATTAGAAATATCATGCTCTTTTCTGCACATTTCATATGGCATACATACACAGGTCTTGTAAAGAAGAAATGTTTACATAATTCCACAAATAACAAGGAGTTGACTGATTGGTTAGAGGTGCCAAGATAAGGGTAGGTCATGATTCGAATCTTATTAGGTACAAACTCTTCCTTGAAGGTTGTCTATCCATGCCCATGAACGCAAGTCCAAGTTTTACCCAGTACAAGAGAATGGAGCAATTTGCATGCACCACAGGTTTAACCTAGGTAAGGGTTTTCCTTCATCCAAAAATAAAAAATGTCACCAACATTTTCCACAATCTACTCTGAAACATATATGCCACCCAAATTTTTCACAGGTTTTTAAATAGATACTTCTGTAAGAGCATGTAAATAATATAATTAGACATAGCGATCCACATTGTATATCCTATTTAAGTTCCATCAGATTATAAAAATATCTAACTAGATATGTACTGTTCTTTTCCAATTCAACACATCTACCATGCATTAGTGTTATAAGGACAATGGAGTGAAATATTGTTAACCTATTTGTCAGACTAAGTAAGGAATTCCAAACCCATAAAAAGAACAGCTCTGACTCACAAGAACTGTCAGCAAAATACAAGATCGCCCCATTGGAAATGACAAGGGGAAACGTGACCAAATGGAATGATTGCTCAATTCCCTAAAACATGTATTCATTGAATACTCCCATGTCAAATGGGTACCAGAACCAACAAGAAATTACCTCAACCAAGCTATAAATTACATAAACCTCCCATAAAAAAAGAAAAAAAAAAAAAACTCAGCAACGTACTAATCCACCGTTCATTTAAATACACTCCTATAAAGCATATCGATCAAATCCATGTCACATTTCCAAATTCCAGAGCAGCTAACCACTACCAAAAGAAACTCATCTTTGAGAAATACCAGTTCAAAAAACCACATCATTGAAGATCAAAGAAATAGAAGTGTTAAACACAAGAATAGACAATTTCAGCAAAACCCATTACCAGGATAGTTGCTTCTTGGATTGGCATAAGGCTGCAATGATTTCAATGAAATCACAGGCCCCCACAACTTCATATTTCTAACAAATCTATCACTCTGGCACATCAAGAAAAGGAAAGAAAACCCAGATTTAAAAAAAAAAAAACAAAAAATGCAAAAGACACTGAAAAGAGAATACAGAAGATAGCAGAATCGAAACCTGTGGCGCAAAGACAGAAGCAGTGAAATCAAATCCATTAAAGGGCATTAAAGTAGATTGCATAGAATAAGCGCCTGAAAGCCTCGTAATAGAAAGATGAACCACCAAAGACACCATAGATAGCATCAATACAAAGAGTGCAATCCATTTTATCTTGGATATAAAGACCATCTTCATTCATGCCCAATTCTTCTCGAAATCCAAATACCCTAATTGTCTATTCAAATCCCTACACCAAAATCAAATCAAAACAAATCAAACAAGCAAAAGGAATCCAATTCAAGTGTTGTTCAAAAACTTACAAGCTCCAGGAGTGATGAGGTCAAAACATGAGATTTGGGAGGAAAGTTGTTGCTTTTTATAGTGTATTCGGGAGATGGGAATGGAAAAGAAATGTATTTTAGATTAGAAGTGGAGATCGAATCAATCTAAAGAAAACAAAGTCTTATTAGCTTAGCACAAGAGTTTATATACTGCTATGGTAAGGTATGGTATCCTGTGTTTTTGGTTTTGTTGAACACACACACACACACACACAACTCTCCTGTGATTGTGAAAGAAAGCTAGGAGGATACAAAGTACGATTTTTGGATTTGGCGAGTACAATGTTATGAAAGCAAGCCTCTGGATTTCAAAGGTAACCCTCTCTTTGTCTCTTCTCTGTAATAAAAATTAAATATTGTAAATATTAAAAACTTATCCAATCCTCCTCCTCCTCCTCCTGTCTTGAATTCGATTAGTTTTGCTAGTAGTAGTTTGTTGTTTTTCACGATAAAATTTAAAATGGGATTTTTTTTAAATATATATATATATATAAAATTAGAAATCAGTGCTTCTTGTTTATTATATTAGAAAAAAAAATATTAAAAACATCTTTCCAAAATAGACATCTATTCATTTTTTTTACCGAATATTTTAAAAAATAAAATAAATTGAATTATAATTTTTCCAAACATATAAATTTAACTTATTTATTAATTAAATTCAAATAAAAAATATAATTAAATATAATTATAGTAGAGAATTGATATCTAACAGCTTATAAAATAAAACATATTCAAAATAAAATCCAAAGAAATCTAAGAGGTTTGTTAAAAATGTATTATTGAATTTGATAATTTAATTTAATTTATTTTTTATAATGTAATTATGATGTTAAAATCACAACTCAATATTAAATTGATATTTAATTTTATTATTATAAAATTTATTTTTTTATGTTCTAGTCTTTAAAAGTTGAGAAAAAAATAAAAAAATAAATAAAAAATTTAAGAATAAAAAGTTTTTGGGTTGGATTCAGTCATTAATAATTTTAAATTTAATAATTATAAATTTAATTTTAAAATAATAACTTAATTAAGATAGTTTTCATTTATAATACTGCTAGAAAAGGAGGTTCAGATTTTAAAAAAATTATAATTTTGATTTAATTTTAAATTAAAATATGTTTTGTTATTGAAATTGAATTTATAGGGTCTATAAAAAGTTTCTTTAATATTATTAAAATAATAGTTTAAAAGTGAGTTTTTTTATCCACAAACTTAAACCTCAGATTTTCTAATCACCAGATCTTCTTTTGACAATTGGAAAGCGTTGCAGATGGACATCACATCATCAGTTCAGTTTAGAAAAAAAATATTAGAGCAGACAAAATATGGTCCGTCCATTAAGGAGAAAAAGAACATGCATATTGGGCTTGATTTTCAAGCCCATATACACTTGGATTTGTTGAATTATAGTCCAAGAACGTGAGCCCATTATTCCAGCCCAAGCTTGTGTGTCCATTCATTTTATAATGGCCCTTCTTTTTTTTTTTAATTTTGTAACAATATTCTCTTTTAATAATTTGAAAAAAATATTAGAGTTTTTACTGTAATATTAAAAATCACTTTTTGAATAATAGTCTGGGCCCATTATTCCAGCACAAGCATGTGTGGCCCATCCTTTTATAATATCCCTTTAATTTTTTCATTTTGCAATAAGATGTTTTTTTTAATAATGTTAATCTTCCATTGTTTTCAAATAATATTAGATATTTTATAGTAATATTAAAAATAAATTTTTGAATAATTATATTTTAACATAATATGTATAATTATCTAAAATATTTACTCATGAATATTCAATGCAAATGAAATATCAATTTCATTATTTTTTTATTGCCAATTTTTTTATATAATATTTGTTAAAATCATTATTCTTATATCCTTAAATGCATTGCATCAAAATGATTAATTTAAAAACTTATTTTTTTTATCAAAACTTTCTTATAAATTACGATAAGTTTTTATTTTGAAGAACACATGAATAAGAAAAAAGAGTTTCAATTAAATAGATTTATTTATTTATTATTTGAAATCATTTATTTTTTTAGATAGTTATATTAATTGCTTTTAGTTTTTTATGCAATAATCTTCATTGCTAAAAAGAAATATATGCTTAAAATTACATTGATAAGAAAAGGAGAGTTTAGACTAAAAAATAATAACTTTTCTATAAAATTTAAATCATTTCTTTTCTTACAAAAATTAATTTTCTTTGTTATATAAGTAAGTAAAATTTTTAGAAGAACACATCACAGTAAATCTATATTTTGCTTTTTATAAGAAAGACTATCTCTTCCTATTTTAGTTTTTGATTAATGTTAATAATTTTTTTATAATTTATTTTATCAAACATAAATACAATTTTCAATTAAAATTTTTAACAATGCCAAAAAACTGAATGTCTACACATGCTTTTCTCTCTCTTTTGTTAATTAAAAATTAACTTAATCAATGTACCATGCAACTAATATTGAATTATTTGAATTTTAAAAAATATAGTTTAACTATTCAGATTTTAAATTTGCTTCTTAGAGATTATTAATTTGAATTTTATAAACCATGGAGCTAAAGACTTATATGATTGTGAATTTAAAAACTCGGAAAAGTAATCAAGGTACAAACAAGATACCTCAAATATCCATGTTAATTAAAAAAAAAATTATTTTTGATTTACAATAATCATTTCGAGATAAGAAACAACTTCTAAACCCATATTTAGTATTAGTTTTAGATGATAATTTGATTAAACAACCATTAGGTGGGTTTGTTTCATTAGCAAGGATCTCTAAATATTTATCAAGAGATCATCAATTCAATTCCAAGCTTTCACATTTCATGTAAAATGTGATCAGGTTAACTTCTCTTATTTATGTTTGTGTTCCAGATTAGTCATTTGACGTGGCGGGTCCTAAAACCAGCTCTCCATCGCTTCTAACATTATCAAGAAGTCACTAGCATTCATGTATATTGATTTGTCAAGTGAAAAAAGCTGCCATATGGGCTAGGGCAAGAAGGTTAGATGACACTTCAGCCATGGCCTGGCCGTAGCATAATTGAGTCGGGAGTCGAGGAGGATGTCGACCAGGATTTTCGACGGGCCGGCCTGGCTAATGATCACGTCTAGTCCATACAACGAAATTGGCTCAAAAGTTCCAGAGTGCATCTAATCGAGCACTATCATTGAATATGATGGCCATCAATTCAGGTGATTCTGAACCCTATTGTTAATTATGATAGCAGACGTACAGGTATTTAAGTAAAGTTTTCACCAGATCAAATTAAGAGGCTAGATCATTCATTTGATTCACTTTTGTGTAGTTGAGTGTTCGAAATTAATATATTCCTTCTTGTAAAACAGTACATAAAATCTTAACTTCATGAAAGGCAATGAGGGGATGGGATAGACATACTTAACAAAATCTATGCTGTAAAAGAAAATATGCATGCAGTGCTAGTAATTACTACCATGATCTATGCTGTAAACAAGCGAGGAATGCAGCAACTCTCTTTGTAATCCCTTTCATGTCCCCTAAGGTTAGGTCACCTAATTAGATACCTTTATCTTTATTTGGGTTTGCCAACTTCACTGCAATTTAATGAGTTATTGTTTTTATCCAGAAATTGCTTTCTTGCAACCTCAGAGCCTGCTAATGTAATCATATGCTGATTAACTTGCTAGCACACTAGTTGTTTCCATCTTTTTCTATAAATATAGCTAAGCCCTATGGTATCATGGCTCTTGTACCCACCAATCTACCTTTTCCCTATTTTCTTCTCTAAACTCTAGCCACCCATCATCATGGCTGCAGATGGCTGGGAATGGCACCTCCTCCTCATCAGGATTATGATGCATACAAAAAGGAGCTTCCGATCTTTGATGTGAAGCTGTTCAACAAATGGACCTTTGAACATGCAAGTTCTAAAATATAGACACATGTATGTGAAGGTGAATCTGCTCAACAAGTTATATATATATATATATATGATTGCTTTCTTTTGTATTTTAATTTGGCAGGTCTGGAGGATTATATTAGTGGTGATGCAACCAAGCATGCTACTTATATACCGCTTACGGCCGGAAGGTACTCGGCAAAGCGGTTCAGGAAGGCTCAATGCCCCATTGTGGAAAGCTTGATGAACGCATTGATGATGCACGGACGCAAAAATGGCAAGAAGTTGATGGCAGTCAGGATTGTGAGGCATGCTATGGAGATTTTTCAACCTTCTTACGGTCCAAAACCCCGTCAAGTCATTATGGATGCTGTTTTTAGCAGGTATTAAATATACAGATCCAATAAATGATTTCTTGCATTTGATAAATTGTGCACACAATGAATCATCAATTCATTCTTTTTACGGCTAACCATTTTGCAGCATCATCATAGATGCTCTATATTTTATTCGTAATTTGTCTCTGTTTAGTACTTCAAATATATTTTTTCGTGTTAACAGTTTTGGCGTATTTTGTAACAACAAATAGAACTCAATTTCTAATTCTTGCCCTTCCTGGTTTTCAAGAAAGATGATCAAAGGGCTTACTGCTCATTTTAATTTAAATTAAATTGACATATATACATATTATAAAATTAACTAGATCTGGTCGATTTTTGGTATTTGTATGTGTGTCAACATAGTAGTCCAAGAGAAGATGCGACTCGAATTGGCGCAGCAGGTGTGGTTAGGAGGCAAGCGGTTGATGTCTCTCCACTTCGCCGTGTGAACCAAGCAATATATCTTCTTGTCACTGGTGCTCGTGAAAGTGCTTACAGGAACATCAAGACTATAGCTGAATGTTTGGCTGATGAATTGATTAATGCTGCCAAGGAAAATCATTTAAATGTTGACATGATTTTAAGTCATTTTATTTTTAAAAAAGTTGACATGATTTTCCCTTAACAAGTTCTTTTATGCCTCTCATCTCTTTTTTTCTGAATCACTTGAGGCATGTGGATTTTAAGGGGGAGTTTGTTTTTGAGAGATCTATATTTCACCTATATACTGAGCTTGATATATAAATAAATAAATATAAGTAAAACATGTAATGATGTATACTTAGACATTAGATATAGAGTAGTGATATAAAAAAAGACATCTAAAGGGAAGGTTATAATCATTACGTGCATTTTGTTAACTAATTATTTCTGAAGAATCAATTGTTTTATCAATCTTTAGGGGTCGATGTGAGGCCTACTAGGTGTGGATAGCATAGGTCAGGACCATGTTACCATGACATAGCAAACATACTCAAGTATCTAATTAAATAAAAATAAAATAGCTTTACGAGTCTTACTCAGATTGAAAATCATTATAGTATTCTTATTCCTCCATCTAACTTAAAGCAAATGGTATATGCTATTAGACAGTGTTAGACTATATATATATATATATATATATATATATAAAAGAACATACTAAGTATGAAAGATAAACTAAGAAAATAATATGTAAATTAAAAAAAAAAATAATAGGCATAACATTAATGATAAAAGCTAAAAAAGTAAAGTTTAATCCTAAGATCTCAAGTAAAGCGTAATTCAAATGAATCGGATATCATGCCAACCAATGTCCTCTTTTCTAACAAAGAGAAAGGCTTTTTTATATAAAAAAAAAATATTTTTTATTAAAATAAATTGTCACCTAATATACAGTCATTATTAGGAAATCTAACTAGTTTTTAGAATTTTAAAGTAAAGGAATTGATATCTTATTACCCTAAAATATCATACTACAAGTAAGCAATATTGATACTTGTCTTTTATTTCTCATAGTTTATTATACCTAATATTAATGGTCCACCTATATGGATGAGAATAAATTTACTAAAATAAGTTAAACAAGTTGATTTAAGTCTAATCATTTTAAAATTTATTTTATTTTTAGAACCCTCGTGTATTATATTTCGATAATACTTGATGAATTATTTATAATTAGTGATTTCTAATCATGATACATAAGTAATAGTCTATTAAGTCAATATATCAATGAATAATTAATGAGTTTATGTTGGGCTTATTAATTAAATCTAATCCAAATCTTAAAAAGAGTACATGAATAATATCTATGTTCATCTATCATATAGTCCCTAAGATTTACTCATAATATACTTGAATGAAAATTAATGGGTTTATATTGGGTTCATTAATTAAATCTAATCCAAATCTTAAAAAGTCCATGAATAATATCTATATTCATCTACCTAAGATTTACTCATAATATATTTGAATAAAGATTGTATGCCTCAATTCTGTTCAAGCAATAATATTTTTGAGTTCAACTAAGTGATATCTAGTGACTTGAAACTACTTTCTGGACTTAATTAACATAATTTTTAATTAAAATTAGAGTAAAAATAATTTATGCAATTTTTTAAAAGAGATGTTATTAACCTTGTTAAAGAAATTTTCTGAAAACACCACTGAATACATACTCTTAAGTAAGAATAAAGAAACCCAATTAAAAAATAAAAACAATTATAGACACTCAAATAAAAATTAAAATAGAGATAAGTTTATATAAGTACAGCATCAAAATTTTCATGATGTCATTAAAATATCTTTAAAGCCTATCTTTTTTTATTTACTTGGAACGAGCAGCGTCGAAAGAGGCTCGGTTGAAACATACAAAGTCATGTCCAAAAGAAGGGTAGGTCCATCAAATTAGCCATGTTTCTCAGTTAGAACGTTTGGTCATTAAAAAAACCAAAAAAACATGAATGTGGTCACAAAATCTCTCTCTCACACGACTACAAAATTACGTTCTGTTTCCCTATATTCATATTTGGTTGTGCTTCGAATTTTTGGGGTAATTCCTATAGAGATTTTTCAAATTTTCATTCTCTTTCTACAAATTTGTGCTCCTAGCTTGCTAAGTGGGATGCAGAAATGTTGTGTAATCGAGAGCAATTATGCATGTCGCTGTACTACTAGCTGGAGAGGGTGAGAGATTTCATGCTTCTAGGTGAGTACTCCGCACTGAATTATTTATATGATTGCTCTATTGACCTGTGCTTGATATACTGTTCTCCATTTTTATGCTTTGACAATGGAAATTGAGTTATCTTCTTTCTCAAATGTCAATTGATCATATATCAGCGTTCGTGCTGATTTCTAAGATCAACAAGCTATCATATAGAGTTTATAGTATGTGCCATCATTTCACTCTCACCATTTGATATATCCATCCTCAAGGGGGTGGGGAAGCATCGATCATAGACATGGTATCTTGCCATTCCTATTTACCTTCTTGTTCATGTCATTGTGCAACATAAACCTATGTATTGAGTGATTTTCTATATTAGAAACCTAATTAACTAGAAATCTTGATTGATTGGTTCCTCTTGCAATCAACTGATCCGTTGTCGCATGTAATTCGAGTGGAGAAAGGTTGAAAGAGGACGGTATACGCTAGCTGGTTAGTGGCCTTAATTAATCGGATTAATTACATATTTATGAAGTTAAATTAAATACAGTAGCCTAGCAAAACGTGCAGCAACCTCAACAGAGAGGGTGCATCCATGAGTCAAATGTGGTGCTACCATGCATACCCCCACCTACCTACATGTATCAACCTCGCTCACATGCATAACTTTTACCTGCCTTTCATAGTGCGTTAAACAGGACACCATTCAGCTCCTAACCATATTTTGTATCTTTCTACTTTTTGCTTCTCTCAAAGTACAGAAAGCTATACCGTATCCTTGTCCATGAAGCTTAGATTGAGAAATCCTATTTTTGATTTGTAATTATGGTTTATAACGTGTTTTCTTTTTCTATTGAGAAAATTAATGGTGTTGAAAAGATAATTAAATGTTGTATAACATTAAATACCCTCAACGTTAATTTTTTTTTTTTAACCTTAGATGTAACTTGTGACAAATATTTGCCATTTTGATATTTTCAGTGGAGAATATACAACTTAACGAAATATTTTATTAATTTAATAATTATATTCTAAATTTTAGTATTAGTTTGAAGTTTTAACAAGGTAATTAAACACATTATATGCTCCACCGCATCAAACATCCTTGATCAAGCACAGCAACATTACTGTATGTGCTCATATATGATCATCATAAGCTCATATAATTAAGATCATAATTATAATAATGGATCATCATGATCATAATTAAGATCCCACAACTGAAGTTCAATAACATAATTACACGAGCTCATATAACATTTTTACTGTTTAATTTATGATCGTCTGGGCTTGACTTGACCTGCTTTATTATGTTTACACGTACTATGCACAAACTTCAAGGACCTCGATTTTGTGGAAGTATTTGTTTCATATATGTAACAATAATAATAATATTTAACCTCTGCACACATCATGTCCCATATTCATGCATGGAGTATTTCTTCACATGCATAACAGTAGGAAGCAAAGCATTAAATTACCTAAAAATGTTAATAGGGGGATTGTTCTTTCTGATATGCAAGAGAAAAAGAAAATTACCAGTTTATAATTTTGACAAACAGTTAACAAGCTAGAGAGATTTTATAAGTTAACTCAAAATTTTCTTACGTAATTTAGAAACTATTAACTATAAGCATATGCATTTCTATGAAGAGAGATCTACTTCTACTACATATCAGATTCATCATATCAAGTGCAAGCACATCAATGTTTGAATCAAGTCTAAGCTTACGTTAAAAAAATATAAAATTAAAGGGATTAATGAAGAGGGTGTTTGCTAGAGATAGAACACTTTAATCTTAAAACAACAAGGTCCTTAGGTTGTCGATGCGATAGGATCTCAAGGAACAAAAAAAACCCAATCAATAGTTTTTACAGTGTAGTGATACACATACATCAACTTAAACGTACAACCATTCCATGTAAGTACAACACTCATAAGAACAACATCTATAACACAAATTAGCACATATTTATAGTCGTAACAAACCAGTCTGATTTTCTTTATATAGCAATCTTCTGCTGCAGGATCAAGCTAGATCTTTACTATTTAACGCACCATCTTTCTCACCGAAAGCTGCCATTGAAGATGTGACTTCAGCTTCCCAAATACTTCCATGATGGAAAGCCTGCGAAGAAGAAATCACAGGTTGACCAGATGGTCCAATAATATTACACTGCTGTTGTTGTTGATACGCAAATACATTTTCATTGATCAGAGAATCCAGAAACAAAGAGAACGTGTCCTCATTCTCATTTCCAATGTAATCTTCCTTATTGTTTTGTTCATGATGACTTTGTAACCCCTTATTAAAACCATCACAATTAGGCCAGTTTTTGGCACCATCATCAATGAGCTGATTTGGAAACTGATCCAAGTTAGTTATTGTTAAGTTCTCTATTACTCTAGTGGCTGTAGCTCGATCGACCCTGGCATTCTCTTCTAGTGGAAAAGAATTAGGGTTGGAGTTTTGGGTGGGAGCAATATTGGCAATCTCTGATGAATTAGGGTTAGGGTATAAAGGCTTGTGGGTCCTTGGATCAATTCCTTGACTAATGAGCTTCTTGCGCAGATGGGTGTTCCAGTAATTCTTGATCTCATTATCTGTGCGTCCTGGTATCCTCCCGGCTATCAAAGACCACCTGAAAAGTGAGTGTACAAGATCACGGGAATAACAAAAAAAAATGAAGATTCATAATCTCAGATTCCAAGTTATTATAATTAATCTAAGTTAATTTGAAATTCAGACCCAAAAGTACATCTACTGTCTATTAATTGTGAGAAAAGGAGGGGGTGCAACACAGTCAAATGTTGACAAACATGTTGATGCTCTACGATAGAAGCTTTGTTTATGAACTTCAGATAATCTGATAGATTCAAGAATCCAAAATCAAGATAAAAAGCTATGGCAAACAAGTGCATGAGTACATGCATACATCCATACATGGATATATGGAGAGACCATGAAGACTTTAACTACAAGGCAAAGACCTCAAAGTTACATATGTGATGAAGATTCTGATACAATTTGAATTTTTTTTCTAAAGAAAACAATTTGAAATATTTGTTATTTGAAACTCGAAGCTCATATATCCTGGTATTTTTATTTTTTTTTTTGGGGGGGGGGGGAGGTAGAGCACAGTGAAAACCTAAATTTAAAATAAATGACATCGAAACCTAATTACTCCATAAACTTTCCCCTGATGATGTCGGGAAGAAAAAAAAAGAAGAAGAAAGAATTATCACCAATTCTAACTAATTCGATAAAATCCTTTTATAAATATATACCTGTTACCAAGCAACCTATGAAGCCTAAGAATGAGATCTTCTTCATCTGGAGCAATACGTCCTCTCTTAACAGAAGGACTGAGATAGGTCATCCATCGGAGGCGGCAGCTCTTACCACACCTAAGAAGCCCTGCCCGCTTTGGCAGGGTACGCCATCGCCCTTCACCATCGTTCTTGATGTAGTTAGCCAAGAGCTCATCTTCTTCAGGTGTCCACGGTCCTCTCTTTATACCTACTTTGCTACAACATGGTGTGGGTGTACTCCTGCTCCTTGTTGAGTTCCTTGAGGATAGATTCCTCATTCTCTGACTCCCTTTGTGTGATAAATTAGCTAGTACTGTGTCCTTGTGATCTATCAAAAATGGAGGGTTTTGATGGGGATGGTGGATGTCGTTGTTTTTTTCATACGGATATATGGGAACTGTGAAGGAAGATATTTCGTGAAAAGTTGGATGGAGACAGATGCTCTAAGGGGTGGGTGGTTTTTTTTTATACGAACTCAATTTACGTGCTTTGTTTGTTCGGATCAAAACTTGAGAAGGGAATTTTGAAGCACATGACTTCGTGAATTGAATGGGTAGGTGGTGATAAAAAAAAAAAAAAAAAAAAGAGCTTTTAAGAGCCTTCAGTGCTACTTTTTACACTATCATTATATATTCTCGAAAGTCTGGTTTAAGAGTTAAGAAATGGTAGTGGATTATACCGAGGGTTCGAATCTGGACTTAGTTTGTTTGAAGTGTCCGAAATTTGACTCGAGATGTGGTTTGGGATACCTGGGGTTTGGCCTCGGACCTGAAATAAAGCGGTTAGGATTCCATCCAAGACAAATCCTAGGAGAGTAGGATTCAATCGAGGACTTAGTTTGGGTCGCTTGAGGTGCAAGCTAGGCCTAGGTTTGGGAAGCATGAGGTCCAGTCCTTGATCGGTGATGGGATGCCCAGGGTTCAATCCATGACCAGTCCCGAGGTGCCCGAGGGTTTATTTGAGAGTTGTGACGGGGCACATGAAGGTTCGGCCAAGACTGATTTGGAATGCTTAGGTCTAGGATATATTAGTTAGGTGGTCAACATCGTTGATTTATTTTATTTTTTTATTAAAAATATCATAAAAATCTATTTTTTATTTTCATTAAAAATATCATAAAAATCTAAGACCCAAAGAAAATTAAATTCTAATATAGAATTCATTAGTCTTAGATCCTAACACTAAACATAAAAGAATTGAATTCTAGTGCAGTACCCAAAAAAAATTAGATCTTGATGGAGAAACTAATTTGTTTGAATCCAACTTCATATCCCAAGAATAATAGATCCGATGTCAAGATTCATTTATCTTAAGTCTAGCGTCAAGACCCGTCAGACTATTGGGTCTATAGACCCATCCGAATCAAATTCGCTTGAATGCGTTATCTGGTCCCTTAGAGGGTCTGCAGAACTAAACCTATGAAAATTGAATCCTTACACAGGAGGCATAATCTTAGTTTAGGCAGGGTTTCAAGACCTAAAGGACTTAGATCTACGGTCCTGTCGCATCCAAACAACTTGGATGAGACACCCTTTCCAACCCCAAATTTCTTGAGTCTGGAAGGAGATATCTGATCCAAGTTAATAATAATTGTAGTAACAATAATTGATTTTTAATACTAATAATATTAGTTATAATGTCTGATCCAAGTTAATAATAATAGCAGTAGTAATAATTGATTTTACCTTTGAAATCAATTCTATATTTTTTTTATAAATTTAGATGAAAAAATTATAACAATAATTGAAATCAATTCTATATTTTTTTTATAATAATAATATTTATTTCACAAGTTCTTATAGTTTTTAATCCCTTCAAATTAAATTTATGAATTTTCTTCAATAGCAATAATATTTTTTCAAATTTAATAATAATAATAATAATTATTATTATTATTATTATTATTTTACCCTTCAAATGAAATATATTTTTATTTTTCAATATTAATAATATTTTAAAAAAATTTAATAAGTAATATATTAATAGTTTTAACTATAATAATATTTTTAATACTAATAATATTAGTTATAAAAAATAATATTTATAGGACAAATAAAAAAATTATATCAGTACTTTTAATTATAAAAAAAAGAATAATATTTTTTATATCAATTAGTTCCCTAAAACATCATTTATACATTCAGAGTATTGATTATGAATTATAAAAAATAATATTTATAGGATAAATAAAACAATTATATCAATACTTTTAATTATAAAAGAAAGAATAATATTTTTTTATATCAATAATTAGTTCCTTAAAACGTCATTTATACATTCAGAGTATTGATTATGTACTAACCTTGAACTTTCCCTATCAAACATCAATACAAGCCTCCATTCTGAATGATTTTAAAGTTGGTTTCATTTTAAAATAAACACCTTCAGTTATGCTTTCATTGTCAAAGTTATAATTCTTACAACTTTTAAATTTATGAACATGAAAATGAAATAATTAAATTCAAGCTATATAAACACAATAATATTAATTTAATGCTATGTTTAAATAAAATTAAATTCTTTTATATGTGCATATTTGACTTCAAATCTGCAATTATCTTTAGAATATGAATCCTTAGCATATAGGACTCCAAATTTGCAACCAATAGTTTATGAGCCAACATCGTTAGATGGTATATCAGGTTTCTTTTCATGATCGATAACTAAATGAATTGAAAGATTTTGAACATTACTACTAGGCAATGTAGTATCGCTCCATTTTGACCCTATACTTTTTATCACCATCTAAATAATATAACTAAATAACTAAGAATATTCAATTAAAATCTCAATCAATAGTTTATGTTTTTTTAGTACATCTATCTATTTATAACAAAATTTTAACAGCACCTCTGCTATACATGACCTAACCCAACACGTAATTATATGCAAGCACTATCATTCTATTAGTGATATAGGAAAATCTATTAAGAAAAAAACTAAGAGCGAGAGGCCACTATCCTCCAAATGGCAACTTGATATTTTTTAGTTATTAAGATCCAATTTAGAAAGTGATTGGGGAATAATATTGACTACCATCCTCAACAATTTCACCTAGATGCCCTTTTTATATATAACTCTTATAAAGTCTACAGTTTTTATTAATTTTAATCAAATTATAGTGAGGATCTACTCTAATTCATCTATCAGTATCATACAAATAACATTTAAATTAAAAAAGATTATTTTACACTTTATGATATTGCAACTTAATCATTTTTTCTACCTTGCCATAATAATCAATTTCAAATTCATTGGAAGTTGATCCATTAACATAAACCTCACTATCATATATATTTCTACCCTCATCATAATTTTAAGTATGAAAGACATATCTATTAACAAAATACATATTATAACACCGGATATTAATTTTCGATGTAAAGAAAGTAATTTTGTACTTGCATTTTATGTTTTGCACCTAGTTAAAGATAACAATCATTAACGATAAGAACAATTTAAATAAATGCATCCTTATTATAGTTACAAATAATTATAAACTTGTGTTTTAAATCACGTTATAAATTGTTCATCTTGTATTTGAAAATTTTGAGCTTCAGTAAGATTTGAATTTTGGAATAATAGGAATTGAAATTGTTGCCTATAAAATGTTCTGCGAATTTAGCATAAATGAGAATACAGGAGAAAATGATTCAAGACAATAAAATAAAATTATTGAACAAAAAACCCCAATTCATCATAATTAAATAGCATATAAATACGTGATTGTCTAAATTTGATGTCTTTTAAATATCTTCTTAAAACTGCATTCTTCGATAATGATTGTTCAAGATAAGAAAATATTGACAAGTTTCTACTAAAAGATATTTCATCACCATCATCATGTCTTGAAATGCAATTGATTCTTTTTCGTATATAAGACTCAAAATAATATGATAAATATTGAAATATCTGGAATGCAATTGATTCTTTTTTGTATATAAGACTTAAAATAATATGATAAATATTGAAATATCTTCAACAACATAAGCTTCGCATATAAACACCTCAACATGCATTTTTTTTTAAACTTTTTTCTTAAAGTTGAACAAGTACCTGCATAAAGGTATGTATAAACATGTATTCATTGAATAGAAACAAGATTAAAAAACTACATCACATCTTAAGGATAAATGTTATTCCTAACCTCTTGAAATGATACAGTCATATAACCCTTCAACTTTTGCTTTATATGCAAAGTGTATAGGCAAATATATGCTCCATCGAATTGAATGAGGGATAAAAGATTATCTCAAGTTTATAGATTATCTCAATGATATTCCTTTCAACTTGTTCCATATGCTGTGAAGCTAACTTGTTCGTGCAAACATCTTTTAAAAAATAACTAATATCCTAAATGCATCTCATATACTTTTTAGAAATAAACTTATATATCCAATTGAAATGAGTTTTACCATAAAAATATGACAGTCATGCTTTTTCATTCCAAATAATTTGCATTCTTCTAAATACACCAATCTAGCTATGTTTAAAGTATAGCTATCAAGAAATTGCATACTCTTAAGCCATTCATAATAAGAAATTATGATTTTTCATATAAGACATAGATGGTTTTGGGCTTTGTGATACATACTATATCATTAAGTAACTCATATTCTAATAGTCACAAAACAAAGCTACATTCATTCTAACTTTTATGTTATCCTTTGTATAATAGTCACAAAACAAAGCTATATTCATTCTAACTTTTATGTTATCCTTTGTTTTTCTTTTGACGTTGTTTACTATGTTAAAAATATATTCAAACACATTCTTCTTAATATGCATGACATCTGAATTATGGTAAAGGACATTAATCTTTCAATAAATAAGCTTTTAAAAAATACTTTATTTTATCCAATTGTGAATCATACCAAAACCAGAAAACCTTTGTTTGTTAGATTGAAAACCAAAAAATAATGTTCTCATACTACATCATACAATTCTTCACCAGACAGTATTAGCGATGAAACATCCTTTTTAATTTTATCTTTTAAGAAGTCCTTTTTATTTTTTCTGTATCAATGATGACTTAGCAAGAACCTCCAATGATAGTTAAAAAAAAATGAATTTTACCATCATTTGTTAAGGTAAAGGCCTTATTGTTTTGCATACAATATAGATATGCTAGTTTTTCATTTATGCTCTATCCTGGAACCATCCAATACTCGGAAAAAGTATTTATAGTCCACATCTAAGTTGTATTATATTGAAAATTATGCTTTTTTAAGACATCATGTGTCTAAGCCCCAAATAACCATAATTATTTCATCTCATCAATCAATGATTGAAGAAAAACATTTATATTCCTAGCTAAATTATAAGGACTTGGTATTATAATAAATAAGAACATGAATTTTAGCCTCATACATATTTCTAAGGGCAAGTTGTAAACTATTACTATGACCGACCAATAAAAATAAGAACCAGTAAATAACCTAAATGGATTGGACCTATCTTGTACACAAACTAAAATGCACGTTGTATAGTTCCATTTAAAACT